GAAATGAAACCGTGTTCTAATAATATTATTCATTAAAGCTTATTTAAAAACAAATCTATGCCATTACCTGGAAGGGAACCTGTTTTATTCATTATTGGATTTTAATATTTCAAAATATTTACCGAAGATTCTTATTATTTTCGAGAAAAAAAAAAAGATTGCTTTTTCAGTTGGCTGAGCTGGAGCGAATCTTGTCAAGCCAGTCGGAAGAATTTTAAATGCTAGCAGCTGCCATCGAAACACCAATCTCGTTTTCAACTCCGCCGTTTGCCACTAGATATATTTAGCCTTCCATGATTATTGTTTTTATTTTTTAATTGTAAAAATTTAAAATTTATATATTTTTTTTTTTTATTATTTTTTTTTATTGAGAGTTATTACAATCTGTCACAAATAAGGACATTTATTATAGTGTTCAGAAAGCACATTCACGCTCTATCAACAATAAATAAAAATAAATAATACAGAAAAAAACAATAATACTAGAAGTAAATGTATAAAAACAAAAATAAAATAAACTAATAAAAACAACTACTCACACACTTCTATACAATACTTAAAAAAATAAAAATAAAAAGATCATTCACTCAAGACCTCTAAGCCAAGCCTTTCTCCCCACTCGAGGAAGGAAAGGTAGGACTCTAGGAGATCCCAGCGCCTCTAAATCAACCGCATTACTGGTATTAAGGACCAGTAGAGGCTGATCAGAGGCGCTATAATCACACATACATGGCTTGAGTGGAGAATCTGGCCATTGCCAAAACTCCAATGTATACTTATTCACAAAAGGTCTCTGGGCCACTGCCGCTTCAACCTTCGAGGAGGATTATAGGGATGGGTGGTGCTGGATAGGGATTGTGCAAGGGGATTAGGATGATAGATAAGGTTCTGGTGAAATGTAGAGAATTTTTCAGGGATAAGATCTAGGACAAATGGGATATTAAGGTCATGGTGTAGGATTTTGTCAGTTACATATAATGGAGCATCAACTATTGTTCGAAGGACTTCAGATTGAATGCGTTTGATGTTAGAAAAAATTACTGTTCCCCACAGTTCAAGTCCGTATGTCCACATAGGTTACAGGATTGTCTTGTAGATAAGTAATCTGTTTTCAATTGAAAGTTTATATTTTCTGTTCAGTAGTCTGTATAGTTGGCCATATCGTCGGTTGAGTTCTTGTCTTTTGAGTCTAGTATGTGGGTTCCATGTTAGTCTTCGGTCTAAGAGAAAGCCGTAAAAGTTATTTTTTTTTCATGTTTGTAGTATTTGAAATGCATTCCATGAAAGTTAAGTGAAGTGGTTTCTTCGATCGGAAATACATCGGACTTCAACCATGAATAGTAGAAGATTATTATAATAGATAAAGGGTTACGTGATGGTGAATCATTGCAATAAGTTAATAATACTCTATTTTTTTGACAATGATAACTTCCAAATATACAACAATTGATTTATTTTTTTAAATCTGATATACTCCTTTGTCGTGTTTTAAATTTATGTTATAGATAAATTGCAGTATATAATATCCAGAGCATCAACATTCCTATAGACCAATAATTGGATGACTACAAATTTCCAATAATTGGATGACTACAAATTTCCAATAATTGGATGACTACAAAAAATAAATTTAAAACACGACGAAGGAGCACATCAGATTTAAGCCATGAATCGACAAAACATGGGATTGTAAGTTCTGAAGATGGGAGTAAATTTCCCGAAACGTTAACTTGCAAATTCAACAAATAAATCAATTGTTGTATTTTTGGAAGTTATCATTGCCAAAAAAACAGAAAAAAGTTATTAGTAGTTTAAACCAGAGATGAACAAATAGCTACTCTTAGTACGAAGTATTTTACTCAAATTTAATCAATATTATGAATCCAATCACTACTTCAGTTAATAGTTTGGCTTCAACTGAAGTAGTAAATAAATTTTTTGATTTATCAAAAAAGGTCATTATTTGAGTAAAATACTTGGGTCTCAGTACTCAAACATCTAGATCTCAGTATTCAAACATCTGGATCTCGGTATTCAAACATCTGGATCTCAGTAAACAAGCATGTTTCATCGGATATCCAATATAATATTATCAAAATATTCTATTTAGTCGTAGATTACTTGCAAAATAATTGGCATTATATTCACATTAATTACGTTTGCATAGAAACTAAGTGAAATTTTCATTGAAAAGAGGTGGAAAATTTTCTTTCTTTTTTTCAGCTTGACAAACCAAACATAGTGCACAGAATTTTAAGAATTTATATCAACAGTCTTTAGCTTTTATTGGCAATTATAATAATATTAACAATAGTCCAGTCAATGAATGCTCGCAAAGGTGGTAACAAAATTTTTGACTTTGCGATATTGTTTTGACTAATAAAGAGGTAAACATACTAAAAGTCCCCACTCCTTGTTGGTGATCCAAATATGAGGGCGGCTCGTAGGTCACTTTTTTCGGGTTTTGGATTATATCAGGAAAACTATCCATCGCTTCGAAAAAAGACGTTCTATACAAAATTTAAAGCTGATAAAATTTGCAATATGATCAAATATTTGCTATTTTTAAGTACCGCGCTTAGTTTCCGAGATATCCGTCCTAAACTATCGCTGATGTGAAAAATAAAATGTTTATCTCATGCTTTTTACTGTATTTGACTATCTAACTCTTGATTGCTTCATTCTACGATTAAGTCATAAGGAAGAAAATTTTTAATAATTGAATTTCCTTCAAGAATATATATTATTTTACTGGTTTATCTTCAACGGTTCAAAAGTGAAATCAATTATACAACTATATATGATAATTCCGAGAATTTGCAAATTTTTTTTTAATATACGTTATTTTATTAATGTATATTTATATATATATACATAGAGATTTAGATGTATAGAGAATTAGAGCAATATAATAAAAAAATATATATTATAAAATTTAATTGTTTACCTCCTTACTAGTCCAAACAATGCCCCAAAGTCAAAAATTGTGTCCCCGACTTTTCCATCTATAATCATTCATTGACTGAAGTCTTTAAGTTTTATTAAGTTTAAAAAAATATATACATTTTTATACAAAGTTGAATAGTGAGGAAACGTTGTGTAATAATGTTTCATTAATTATCCGAACCATTTTAATTTATTGTTTTATAAAAAAATAATGGAACAAAAAATTATCTAAAACTATTTTTAAAAAATATATATTTTATAAATATTTTATGGGACTATTTTCTTCATTTTTCATACCAATTAGATTAATTTATATTTAATTATTCTTATTTTACAGTAAAATGTTTAAATAATATCGTTCAGTTTATCAATAGTGCTATTAAATTTTATTAAATTTAGCATGAGGTTATTATGAGGAAGCTCGGCTGATGGTATGATCCCCCAGCAAGAATTGTTTGTCATCCTTTTTGTATTGGTGTCATTTTTCTCATGAATATGGAAATTGGGCTTCCCTTCGCTTCCCCTATAATGTAACCTACTGGAAAATAGAATATTCCCCAAGAGTTGTAAATTAAGGCTTTTTATCTAAGAATTAAAAAAACTTATAAGCCGTTATGGAACGACATAATTTATTTATCGTGTCGTTGAATGTATATATTTTTTCTTCGTGTTATCATATAAAAGTTGGGTACTTACATTGGAAAAAAAATGATTTGAATTTCCGGTGCAATTTAGTACGGAAAAGTAGGGAGAAAAACACTCAAAAAAAAAAAATGGTATCTTTTAGAAATTGTTGATTACTTCAAGCTTTCATGAAGAGAGGAGAGAGCGACAGAGTTACACAAACAAATGACACATTAAAATCATTTGTAATTCATCTAAGACAAATCATAACTCTAATCTAAGTCCTATGACTATTTATTTTTCATTTAAAAGAACTTCTTTTAAGAACTTGAATAAATGCAAGTTAAACTTTTACCATAAACCTGGAACTTTATTACAAAAATGTTCTCTAGAATTTTTATTTTAAGAATTTTTTTCAAAAAACGTTTCACAGAAACTTTTTAAAAAATTCCATTTTTGAAAAAACAGTTTCAACCCAAACGAACCAGATAATTTTGTGAGATGACTAAAAATTCGGTTTCAGTACCATAAAAACATATGAAACGATGATAAAAATTGTTTTGTATTTATGAAAACTTATGTAAAAATAACTTATTATCTTTTGAGTGAAAATTCAATATCGGTATCCATCTCCTGTTGCTGATTATGGCTTATATTCGATGTGGTATTGACGTAAGAAGGTTAGGTAATCCTAAAAGATATTTTTTTCTTTCAATAATTTAATATGTTTTGGTTATAAATAGAAATTGTTAAATTACTCGTTATATGACAATATTAATTATGATAAATATCCTTATTTAGGTTAGTCATATTTCTGTGACATTTTTTAATAATTATTATATTTAATATATATATATATATATGCCTTTTTAATCCCACAGCCTTGTATTTTATATTTAAAACATTTTTATATATATTTCATAATTTTTATTTAACGTTTCGGCTTCATTTAAAAAAAAAAATCGTTTTTAAAAACAAAACATTAGTCCCATAAAAACATAATTTAAAAAAAAAATCTTAAAATATATATGTATATAGAACACTACTCAATGGTAGTTATTGTTTTATTAAATATAAAATGTTTTTTTTTTCGTTCTTCCTCCAAATCTCTACAAACATTTTTTTTATCCTCATTTTATCAAATCATTCATCCTGCATATTAACAACTCATTTATAATGTAATAATTAAAAACAAACTTTTATAAATCCAAAACATAATTTATTTAAAAATCTTTTTTGGAGCAAAATTTATTTACTTACCAAAAGTACGAAAAAAAGCAGACCTCAAAATAAAAAATAAAAAACTTGCCTTGATTTCTTTCCTTTTTCATCGCCTTCATATTATCTTTGCTGAGCTAAAGTTTAGGCCGACTATTATTATTTAAATATTAAATTTAAGAATTAAACCGTGACCTTTATCAAATAATTCCTCAGATAGCAAGAGAGTCTCCCGCGTAGGAAGGCGGGCAGGTGTTGAAATATGATGGTTTTGAATGCACGTAAGGTTGAAGCATGTCGGATATTAAGAGAGTGAATTCCAGGCAGTGGTAGAACGGGTAAGAAAGGAATGGTCGAATGCTCTCCAGCTCTGGAATGAACAATCATCTTGTGAAATACTAGATCTTGTTTACTGGGCTAAACCGGGGGCTCAAATTGTTAAACATTAGAAAGTTAAGATTTGAGTAAAGGTATGGATCTAATAATAATTATTATTTATTCATTCTGGGACGAGTCCCTTTAGAACAATAAACAAGAACAGGAATGTGGAATTTTGAGCCTCAGAGATATACAAGTGTATTTACAATTTAAACAGATAAAAAAAAAAAAAATAAAAAAAAAAACGTAACTTTCAAACTTTAATCAATTAACAAAAATAAAAAATAAATGAAAGAAACATAAAATAAAGTAATAAAACTCATAATATATATACATATTTACGATTATATATTAAAATACATATATACAATTCATACAGAAATATCTATTTACAATTTTATGAGGACTAGTCTAGTCCAAGAATATCGAATGCTACACTGAGTACCGAGTATCAAGTATTTTACTCAAATTGAATCACTATTGGGAATCCAATCACTACTTCAGTTAATCGTTTGACATCTACTGAAGTAGTGATTATATTCTTTGGTACTCAAAAGTGGTCAGTATTTGAGTAAAATACTTGGTACTCAGAACTCAGAGTAGCTCATGCCCATCTATGGGAATGGATGGAAAGGAAGTGATTGAATAGGCGGGATTTAAAAGCAGAGAGAGTATTGGAGCGACGGATGTAGGGAGGGATGGAGTTCTATTTGTTTGAGGATCGAATAATGTCAATGTCGATATAAGACAATTTTTTTAAGAATGGAAGACAATTACTTAATGGATATGTTATTTTTTTGTTCGGTTCGGAATTTTGAAATATTTGTAAAAACATTTGGCAAATGTTGAAGAAGTTTAGCATTGTATGTCCCGGAAAAAACTTGGCTTTTGCCAAAAATTGGAGAAAAAAAGTCAATATCCTCTTATAGATTATTTTTAAAAATGAAGGCCATTTGACAATTATCAATAGAATCCATTACTACCTCATATATTTTATTATTTTTATTTCATCGTTTACGTTTCGTTACGATACTTAACATCTTCAAAACAACATGTTCTAAATGACAAAGATCAATTTGACAAAGGTCAAATTAAATACTATATATTATAATAGTATTTTATTGGTTATGCCGACGTTTCAACCCACTTTGTATGTCTTCAACATGGCTACAAAAGATATAAAAAATAAATTAGTACAAAGTAAAAAGTAAAATAAATGAATTATTAGTAGATATTAAACAAATACTAGGTGTCTGATAAAAACTGGTATCTGTTAATATCTACTAATCATTCAGTTATTTTATTTTTTACTTCGTAACAGTTTATGTTTTTTATCAGTTGAAGCCCTGATGAAGACATACAAAGCGGGTCGAAACGTCGGCATAACCAATAAAATACTATTATAATATATAACATTTAATTTGTTAGCACTAACAACCAACTCCTTCTCATATTATTATCGCGGTCATCTATATCCATACCATTATGACCATCTATAAATCATGAACAATGGACATTTTAATATAATATACACTGTATCTTGTCAAGAGGCATCTTGAAAGTTGAACCAATAAAATTTATTTTAAAAAATAAATAAATAATATATTTAATATGCATAGTAATATTTTCACTTATAATTGACATTTTATCACCTTTTATCTTTTTTGTTACTTTTCTACATGTTTATTTTTTATCTCTAAATGTTTACACTAATTTATTATTTTTACTCAATTTACTTTTATTTTTTTATTTTCACAAAATATAATTGGATGAATTTATTTCCGTTATTCAGTTCCCATAATTTTGATGTTAGCACATTATAATTCTTCTATGATTTTGATTTTATCTTATTGTTTTTCGCCCACGAGAAGGCGTGCAATATGAGGCGAAACGTCGTTATTCAATAAATATAAATTATTTTTATATTTTAATTATGTTATTTATTTGTATATAATATTATTTATTTATATTGATATTAGTAGTTTTTGGGATAAATATTAAAGGTTCGTGTTTTTTAATTTTATTTTTGTAATGTATATCATCTTATTTTAACATTGGATTCGTTTCCTAGTTGTGATTCGCTACTTGTTTATTCAAGTTGCTCCTCAGTATTCATCCCTTGTCGCGAAACTAACCTTTGAAAGTATACCTTTGCAGCCGGCGCGTTGCGAATTGCTTTCTACGTGAGATTGACCTGTACAAAGGGACAGGGTTGAAACCAAAGGGTTTCACTAAATCAGAAAAACCCGGTCATATTTCCATAATTTTTAAATCTTACATGATTATCATTGCCTCCACTCTCTGACAATTATGAATCCAATGTTCCCTTTTGACATTTTTTTTCTTCTTTTTTTTAGGCTGTTTTATAGCATTCAGTTTTTTAATTCATTAAAAAAAAATCATTATTTTTTAGTGAAATTTTCATTAAATTTTTAATTTTTTTTATATAGCTTTAGTTGTAATACAATATATATTAATAATAGAATTTCGTTTCACCAATTCAATGTTCCACTAAATAAATTCTTCAGTTTTCATAAAATGTTCCTTACAATGAAAAGTATAAGTTTAAGACGCTGTTTAGTCTGGAAAGAAAAATAAAGAAACTTCATAAAATGATTTTTAAGTGGTTCGTTCTTGAAGGCCTGTTTAAAACAAAAATAGGGATATATAGGGTTGGCAAATAAGTCCTGTCGGTTTTTTTTCAGGGTGAAATAAAACTCAATGTACGACGGAAAAAAATAATAATATGTTTATAAAATAATGGAGCAATATAATATAAGTGCTATGTCCATGTGGATTGATCGGTACTCTATGTACTCTATAAAGCTACTCTATGCAGTAGGGCAGCATTCATTTCAATAAAGTATTTCTCTCATACAATTTAAAAAACACTTAATTTTAAAAACAATCAACAATATAAATACTATTATTTAATATGATTTTTCCCATCTTTCCACTAACTGCTGGAGTTTATTGTTAAAAAACTGATCCAAGTGATCTTTGATGTCCTCTTCCTTTTTGAATTTCTTTCCATCCATGGAGTTCTGCAGAGACCGGGATAAGTGGTAGTCACTTGGAGCTAGGTCTGGTGAATAAAGAGGGTCTCAAAAGTCATTTTTTTCTCTTGGACGAAAAATTTCTTTTTGTCGATCACTTTTGTTTGTGTGGTATTTTTATTCACATATACAGATGAGCATTTCACTTGAAAATACACTTTTCATGAAAATTCAGCATTTCACATGCAGTGTTGAAGGATAGATTTTGGACTAAAAGAAATAAAGACGTGTTTTTTCAATATAACATTAAAATAAAAAAAAAATATATTAGTATGGTAAACAGAAAAAAAAAATGGCCTGAAAAAGGCTGAAACATTTCAAATAAAAAATATGATGGAACTTGATTGAAGTTAATAAAATGTGTTATGGTTTTATATCTTATTTGGATGGATAAAAAAAAATGTCCTGTATATTGATTATTAATTTTTAAAAAATTCCTACAACATAGTCTTCTGTCTCTAAAATGCAAGTAAAGAATAAAATAACTCGTCAACGTTTCGCCAATTTAAGCATCGAAAAGAAAATGAACTCAAGATCAAATCAATCCGTGACATCTAATCCCATATTGGAAGAAAAGTGAGGTAGCACAGCTGAGGAAGGGTATAATCCAACAGCTGAACCGAAAAAAAAATACAGATAAAAAAACATGTAATTACCTACCAGATTACATAAATAGTCTATACAAAATACAATTAATAATCTATGTTAATATTCATCTATGCTAGTATGCACCCCATAGTACTTGTTTATTCCCTATGATCAAGATGCATTCACAATTACTTAGACACTCAGGCTCTCAATATTGCAGGAGCACCATCTTCCTAACTTCCCCAACAGATTATTAACAATTATGCAACTCCACTAACTTGTTTGACAAACTTGCTACTGTCAATCATAAGTCACCGAGTTTAATTACTGGTAAATTTATTGTCTTGGAACTGTTTATTAATGGCGGTGGGAACGAACGATACATGATCAAAGCTGCAGCAAACCTATTTTTTTTTCTATACTTTATATATATGTTAGTTTACTATGGTTTCTTTTTCTTATAATTTCTATTATTTTTGTGATTGTATAAATCATTTCTTATATCTCAAATACTCAATGCTCTTGATTGAGACAAAATGTATTTTTCTCAATAAGATTTTGAAAGTAATATATATGTTAGACCGGCAAACATGTTTATTTTTTTTTTTGCGAAAAGTTGTGGAGGAACACTGAGGTGAAAACATTTTTTGCCTAAAAAAAATCTCTCCAAAAGTTTTGAAAAAAAAATTTAAATTCACAAGGACCTAGGACTCCTAGACAACCGTCTAACTTGGAATCCTCATACCAGACTGAAACGACAAGAAACAGCTCGACGTTTCCGACTACTTCAACACTTACTCTAAACTTTCTATATATTACAAAAAACTCATGTACAAGACTATAATAAGGCCAATTTGTACTTACTTAATTGAGCTTTGGGATTCGACTAAACCATCGAATTTCTGTCGTATCCAATCCTTACAATCCAAAATCCTTCTTAAAATCCTCAATGCTCCTTACTTTGTTACAAATAAAATCATCCACAATGACGTTAATGTTCCTTATGTATCAGATTTGGCCCAGTCCAGATATCTATCCCTCCATAATAAACTTCATAACCATCCCAACCCTCTTGTTTCTAACCTTGCTTCCTATTCAATTCCTGATAATCCTCCGAGGCGTCTGAAAAGAAGATGGCCACGTGATCTCCTAATATAGACACATTATTAGAGTGCTACCAATGGGTAGTTTCTCAACATTTGTTTCATGCCATTATATCCATGTACGAATTTAATAAATGTATTTTTTTTTTATACAGATGTAAATATCATATAAATAAAAATAAAAAAAATTCAGAAGCTGCCCCAATGCGATGAAGAAGATCGCAGAGCTATGTTATTGGGCTCCG